GTAGATCATCATTGGAAATAACTGACTCACAAATTACTGCAATTAACAAAATAATCCATGCATTCTTTTATTCAGCATGCTTGCAGCTCTTTTAGTGCATGTGTTCAATTATTAAGCCTACTGTCAGCGCACTAGCAGCAACTTTCGACCACACTAAAAATAGTGCTTACAAGATGGACACCTTCATAAGAAAGTATCTTTTTCGACTACCAAATAATAATCAGTTTTTTGCTGTTTTAAATTAGCAGATTTTTAATTGTGACATACAAAATGGCTTTTAAAAATTTCATTTGAATACTGTGGTATGATATCATGAACGTAACCAACGATTTTTGCAAGCTTTCTTCATTGTTTTGAATCAGTCATCGCCAATGCCATAAATAAATCATTTCCTCATTTTGTTATAAACAACATTGAACTTAATGGCTTTTCTTCTAATAATATTGAACAAATGCATGTAAATACAGGTATACCTCAACTTACATCGTTTCGAGTTACGTCAATCCCGATTATATGTCGTTTGTCAAAAAAGTACAGTAGAGTCTCGAAAACTCGGCCTAATGTGGACCGAAGGGTGGCCAAGTTTGTGAAAATGCCGGGTTATTTATCAAGAATGGGGTTAAAAAAAAATAAGTATGAGTGTTTCCTCAGAAAATACTGTACTGTACTGTACTTGTATGTATTGTTTACTTGAGAATACAACAGAGAATAAACTGCCCAAATACCCTTAAACAAAGGAAAAGTACGTCCTTTATGAAGGCATAGAGCCTTTACTACATGAAAATGAAAATTAATGAATACACTGTGTACAGTAATTTACCTGATAAGACAGACCTCAGAAAAATACTTTATGAGGCATAAAGCTGTCTATAATGAAAATTAATTAACTAAGGATTTTTTTGCCCTGCCAGGGTGTGGCCAAGTTATCCGGACTGCCGGGTTATCGAGTGCAGAGTTTGAGACTACTGTATATGGAAAAATAAAAATCAAGTTTGTCATTTTATTCGACTTTACGTCCGTCCGTCCGCCACAAATATTGAAGTTGTAATATCACTAGAAAAGTGTTTAAAGCACATAAAATCATATTAAAATATATACATTTACAAGTATGTACTGTATTTACAGTACATGCATTCGTAAATTTAGATTACTTTTTTCTGTACTATATTAAAAAGTAAAATTTATTTGTTTGTAAGCTTAAAATAGATCCTTATTAACCATATATTATTAAAATGCATTAATAAATAAAATACAGAACCGGGAATGGTAATTTATGGTTTAGCCTAGTGACAAGTAGATTCGAAGACAAGTAAATTCGACTTACATCGCATCTCCTGGAACCAATTACTGACGTAAGACGAGGTATACCTGTATAGCAGAAAGAAAATCATTGTTTATATCAGCCATTTTGAGATAGCTCTTTCTCCAGCAAAAGTGTTTTCAACTGTCAGCAGCAAAAATGTCATTTCTGGCAGCAACTGCTCAGTGCACTACTGAATAAAAGAATGTGTGGAATGACATGAACTGACAAAAGGAGTCTTCATTCTCCAATGAGGGATTTCTCAGAAATAGGCAGATTCCTACTATCCCCTGAAATTTAATCCAAGATCAGATCCTAAAATACATTTGATTAAGACTACTTGAAAAAAGATTAAAACTGTTCTGAAAACATTGATGTAGTTATTAAACTTGCATCTAAAATGAATAAAAAAACAGCAAAAAAATTAATCATAAAGAAACGAATTTTGCTTGTCTTTGACTATGAATTATCTACAGTCGACCCCCCTATAATTACGGTCCCTATAGTTACGATTCCTATAAAACTACGAAAAAATTGCTACCGGTATCCGTAAAAAATAGTAAAAGTTCCCTATAAACACCTCAAACGTCATCGGGAAGCCGAACTACTTTCCCGCCGTCCGTAGCGCCACGCTACGGAGAGATTTCTATCGTCTGGACAGTATTATATAAATTATATATAAATTAGGTACTGTACATATAATTATATATTAATTATATATAAATTAGGTACTGTATATATAATTATATATTAACTTATTGTAACTTTGTTATAATTAAATATATAATTTCCGCCGTCTAGCGTGGCGCCACGCTACGGAGATTTTTACGCTAACTATCGTCTGTCAGTATGTAAATTAGGTACCGTAAGTCTAATACAGTACTGTAATTTTATACATTTCTTGTGAAAGAAACATTTCTTATTCAACGGCGATTAAAATTATTTATATTAATGATGTCTCCGAAGTTCTACGAAGTTTTCACAGAAAAATAAGTTGTTAGAAATCGGCCGCTCTTTGCTGAGCTGTTCCGCGACGAAAACAATGTTGAGCAATGGCAATGTCGAATGGTGACACTCGGTAAGTAATCCTACAATTTTTTGTTTATAGCGTAGTTTATACGGATTATTCCCAAAAAATATATACGTATTTTGGAAATGTTGAGTCGGATTAGTCTAGAATCGATTAATTTTATGGAAGAAAATCTTTCAAACAGCCGTAGTCCGTAAACTTTACACGTGTCGGGTTGTGATTGGAAGGATTCGTAAGAAAGCGGATTCCTAGAGAATGGAACGTATCTCTATCTTATAGGGGGGTCGACTGTATATAATTTTACATGTGATTTTAAATTATTATTATTGTAGTCTTATATAAATTAATTCTTGGGTATTTTATAGATTATTTGGAAATTGGACACAGTTCTATATTCATTAGTATCTTATACATACATGCATACATACCTTTTAAAAAATGGAGATGGCTTCAAAATATGAGTATCTAAAATAAAAGAAAATTTCATATTAGCTAGTGTAAATTAATTTTTATTAAAATATATATTTAATCTGGTAAATGAATAACTGCATTTTATTAAATAATACTAGGTAGCCAGTTAATTAAAACTAAAAATAATAAAATAATAATTAAAACACTGGCTTTTACACCAAAACAAAAACCAAAATTGAAATTAATTAAATTTAAATTAAAATCAAATGGACCAAAACATAATATTTTGGAAAGTGTGGATAAAGTACTTCTTGTTTGTTTTGATTGATTTGGTTATATTTCATGCAGGCAGTCACAGCTGACTCTCTATTTATTGCACTTCTTTGTAAAGTGTTAGTTTCAGTTTTGGTTGGAAGTGATGGAACATTTTCTTCTAATATATATATTTAATTTATAGAAAAGTTAAACTAAATCAAGCAATAATCAAATTGTTTTTGTTAAAGTGAGCAGATTTTCTGAACTTCAACTCGAGACACTCTAAAAATTGTAGGTAGGAAATATAGGGTGTGAGGTTATTGTAAGAATTTGAACTCTCGTGTGAATTTGGAGCTTTGGTAATTTTTATTTTTATCATTATTTCCCTTTATCTCCCCCTTCCATGGAAGTAAAAGCTAGACCTTTTGATCTATAAGTGTACTGCATCACTTCGAAAGGTTACCTTCTAAACATCTTGGAAAGTTCTCCCCTCACAACAGGGGATTATTCAGTTCCACCTTCGTTACAATGCAATGTACAAATCAGTAGCCAATTAACAAGAACCTCCACCTGTTACATGATAGAGAGTACAAAAAGTCACCCCGGTGGTCCGTGGATGTTTTTACTTTAGCCACCCGAGGCAATTAATTTAAGAAGTTGATACCTGTTGTCAAAGTTATGATGGGAAAGTGTCACAATAATGGGGAGAAAGCATAATAAATAAAAAGAACCATTTGATTAACGTAAACAACTCTAGCCGCAAAGGTAATTGCATGAGATTTTCCCCCTTCAGGAGTAGTATAAAAAGGGGTTGCACTTGCATCTCCAGGCGAACAGAGGAAGATAGCCAAGGTGAGGACAGCCAAAGCGGACAGCCAGGCATGAACATAGCCAAGGCGGAGAGCCGGCAGACACCCACAGCGGACATAGCCGAGCAGACATCAGGGAACGCCAGACCCATACTGCCAGTCCTCCGTCACAACTCCTGCCTTCCTGCCATATTCTCTGACCTGAAGAGAAGGGAGACTACAATTAGGAAACACCGATCCAAGAGTGTTTTATCAACGCCCAATACGCCAAGATTGGAAATCCATGAATTATTCAACTAACCACATTTTGATACTCTCTCTTTCGTTCCTTGTCACTCTCTCGATCATAGTTTAAGATTTGACAGTATTATGTCTTTAGAGTTAGATCTTAGGTAGTTAGTTAGAGCCTTATTAGAGAAATTATTGTAACCTTTTTGATTTGTATTGTTTGTATGAGTTAGTAAAGTAAATATGCTTATTTTATATTTTATTATGAGTCATCCTTGAGTGCAATCGGTACCTTGTCATGATCTCGCTATCCCTCTCCACTCATATTTTTGCCCTCCTATACAGCCATTACTGACCGAGCCACCAGTAAGCGAGGAGAAGCTTGACGCTCTACCCATCAGTTCTCACATTATGAATACCTCACTCTTTCCAGAGTTATTTGAATGATTTCACTGCTCAATAATGTTATTGTGTATATCGATGACTAATATATCAGGACATTTTCTTTTTGGCAGTACCACCTCACTTAGTGTTCTTTTTTTGAACGAAACTTTAATATTAAAAAATGAATTAAAATTTGCTAATTTCTTTGGCTTTTAGAACAATATATAAATTCATAAAGGTAAAAATATATATAAATAAATAATTTTATAGCAATATCACTTACTAAAACCAATAACCGGTATTAAATAATCGTAAAATGTACTGCGAACGTTTTCGGTTCTTTCCCTAGGACCTTTCTCAAGCAGCGATTCGTCTTTAGAATAACTATGAAAAAAGACCAGTAAATAGCGATATTCGAAAAATTATTCTTTCGAACAACATTTCAAAATCCAAAATTCAACATTAATGTGAATCACGCGCATTCCCGAATTCCGTAAATAAATATAATAAAAAATAAAAATAAAAATGTTCGGTATAAAAATTCCTATGCACGATGTTTATATCCTATTCATGAAACGCATTATTAATGCGTATCTTCTTTCTGTAATAGAGCCTGCCATGCAAGTGATAGGGTAATTTCATCCCTCGAGTTAATAGGTTCAGCCGTGTTGTATGCCTTGCAGATCTCCATTTGTTCCAACCATTTGATGTGATCCGTAAATTTAGTGGTAATGAGGAGTTTAGCGTTATCAAAGTCTACCGAAATTTCCGGGTCCGAAGCATACGTGGATAACGAAGTAGTAGCCCTGTTGTGGATGATGTCACTTCTGTGTTCCGCCCATCGGACACCAATCGAACGCTTAGTAGCACCAATGTAGATAAGTTGTCTCTCAAATCTGTGGTCCACGAGGGGAACAGCGTATACCCCTGGCAGCTTATCCTCCTTAGGTTTATCTTTTTCATTGCGTAAAAGCTTAAACATAGACGGACATCTTCTGAACGACAGTCGTAATCCTTGTTTTTTAGCGATTTTTTGGTATAAGGATACGAGGAAGGGGTTGTATGTGACTATTGTGATGGGTTGGTCTTGTTCTATACTATTCCCCTTCTGTGGCGGTGGTAGGCCGACGCTGTAATGTCGGGCTAACTTATGGACCATGTTATAGAATCCCTGCTGACCGGCGATGTTAAGTATATAGTTCAATTCTTGAACTAATGCCTCCTGAGTTGAAGAATGGGTGTGGGCCCTCTTAACCAGTGCTTTAAAGGCCGCCATTTTATATCTGAATGGGTCACAGGAGTTCGCTGGGATATACATTGGAAAGTGACAAGCTTTGCGGTATACAGAAGTTTCCAAGGTGTCTCCTCCAAACGTAATGCTCAAATCAAGAAAATGTACCTCCTTATCACTATGTTGTTCCAGCTCTATGGTAAGGTCATACGGATTGTCGTTCATCTGATTAATAAAGTGGGTGATGTCTGGGTCGTTTTTCCACAAAATAATGATGTCGTCTATGTATCGTTTGTATACTAAGATGTTGTGGGAGAAACCAGGAATTGTTTTATCTTCCAGCTGTCTTATTACCAGTTCACAAAGGTCGCCTGAGACTGCACTTCCCATAGGCACTCCTCTGCCCTGCGCATATGTGGTTCCACCGAAATGAAAAATAGAGCTGTAGCAGATCAAATGTGCTAGTTCAAGTACTTGCTGGTGTAACTCCTGGTTATAAACGTTACAGAATAGAAAATCCCTGAGTGCGCAAAAACATAATGGTAATTGGATGGAAGGATATAAAGCACGGAAATCCATAACAGAGATGTACGCAGGCTTTTCGGAGTTTTTGAGGCAAGCTATTAATTCAACCGGATTGGAGATTGTGTATTGGTAATCCTGTAACTTAGGAGAGATGAGATCGTGCATGAATGCTTCCAACTTGCGAGTGGGGGCCGTGGCCTTATCTACCACAGGTCTCAATTTGTGGCCCTGCTTATGCGTTTTAGCAAACGCGAAAAGTTTGGGCGTATCAGGTGCGTCCATTACAATATCCCGCATTCCTAACGTAGAAGCCAGTTTAGAGTTAGAGAAGCGTTTGATCTTATTGTGTAGTTTGTCAATAACGTTGTTTGGTTGTACGACGCATCTCGTATCCTTAATGTATTCTTGCATCTCTTTTTCATACGTGTTCCTTTTCATTAAGACCAACATTTTGGTCTTATCAGCTTTGATGACCGTAATATTATTATCGCGCAGCCATTTAATTGCGCGTGACAGGTCTTCTTTAAAGTAACGTACTTGCGTAGAATCCCTTCGGTTTGTAAGCTTGCAAGAGGCAATCCATCTGTAATACTCCTTTTGCACAGTTGGCATGCCCTGTATCAGCCTTTCAAGGTCA